TGGCAGAATCCAGCAGTGCATTCTTGTTTCTTGTGCTCCCTAGTTAAGGACAAGCCCCCGAAGGTGGGGGCATGTAGCACATTTTCCAGGTGGCTCTTCATTGGACAAGGGAACAGTATACCAGGTATAATGTTCATAGCCATGGGTTCACATAAGCAACATGCAAGATAATTTAAGAGGACAAGAGGATCAGAGACAGGGCTATGGAATTTCAGGAAAGGAAAAATATCACTTCCACACTAGGCTTCCAGATTTCCTGCAGAATGAGGAGAGGATGAGGGATGGGGGTGGGGGGAGCAGTCTGAACAGGCTAGAAACTGTATATACTGCCTTTATTCCCTTTCTGGAATGTCTGAGGATTCAGAGGGCCTAGGTTTGACTGCTCCATTCCTAATTTGCTGACTCAAATCCTGTGTCAGATGTTGTGGGCTGCTGCAGCCCTGAGTTCCAGTCCCAGCTCAGTATACAAGTCCCTTCTCTCCTTTGGTTGTGTCTTCAGGTGTACAGTGAAGGCCAAGTGAATTCTCAGAGCCCTGCAGCTGTCTCACTTGGATGCCTGTCATCCTTCCTGCAGTTTTAATGACAACCCTGGCCCCCTGGCCCCACACCTCCCATGAAGAGGCAGGACACAAAGCTTTCCAATCTATCCTTTTCCTGGAGTTCAGCTTCTGGCCAGGAAGTGGTAAAGCAGGATTTCCGCTGAGGATGTTTCCTATGACCCAGACGGCTCCGGTCAGGGGAGAGGCGGGAAAGTGGGCCACCATACCCCCTAGGTGCCCTGTTGTGGGGTTTCCTCTCACTGACTTGAGCTCCTTGAGAGGGAAAAGTATAATTCAGAGCTGGAGAAAGCCATGACATTCCTCTACATTTCTTTGGTGGGAAAACAGTACCTTTTTGTCTTTTTCAATTGTGAATATACTAAGCATTCATTAAAAAGCAAGAAATCTCTTTACCTACACCTGGGGAAATCCTTCAGGATCTTTCAAGGCTGGACTCCAGCACTCTCCTACAGGAACCCTTTCTTCTCTGGACTTTCAGAGCTCCGCTTCTGCCCTGTTTCTGTGCTATCATTTCCTGCAGTCACAGCATGAGAAACACAGGGTAACTCTTCATTTCCAAAATTTGGAACCTAAAACCCATGACTTGCCTAGTGTCGAGAGTTTGGAGCACGGGTGACAACTGTCAGTTGTTCCTGACTCCTAATGTGGTCTTTCCACTGGTTTTTCTACTGTTGGTTCTCTGCCCTCCTTCAACATAGTACCTATTCCTATTTCCATCCTTTTGAACAGAAACTACTCCATTTCCCCTTCTCTTTGCTACTGATGCTGATTCTGGGAAAATGCCATCTTTCTGGAACATTCTCAAAACAACCTTCCTCCCAGCCTATGTAATATATTCACACCTTAGTTTTATTATAATCACTTATCTGACTGCATTATTAATGTTTGCATAGCTCTCCCTCATTAGACTGGGCTCTGACAAGGCCTGGTTGTATTGTTTATTCAACACTTCAGTCAGTACCTAGTAGGGTCCACATGGCACACCTATTGAACAATGAGGGTTAAGAAGGGCACTGGTGTGGGGGAACGCTGGAGGTAGCAGAGGGCTAGAGGCTGTGGAAGGACCAGAGGCTGGTGTCCTGGTTAATTGACTTTGGCCTAGTTCTAGTTGGTATGTTTCATCATCTATAAAGAGAAGTTATTATGCCTGCTGTTTCAGTAAGGCTTTAGTTATGACAATACCAAAAAACAAAAGTGGGAAACCACTTAAAAAAAGAAACAGTCTGCAAGCACAAGGTATCAGCTTTGGAGGCTGTGCTGGACAGCTTTAGTGTCAACCTGACACACCTGGGTTGAGGGAGCCTCAGGCGGGGAATTGCCTCTATTGGACTGGCCTGTGGCTATGTCTGAAGGGCATCTTCTTGATGAGTGATGTGGGAGGGCCCAGCCCACTGTGGGTGGTGCCACCCCTGGGCAGGTGGGCCTGTGTTGCATAAGAAAGCAGGCTGAGCAGGGATCAAGGGAGCAAGCCAGTAAGCAGCGTTCCTCCATGGCCTGTGCTCCAGCTCCTGCCTCCAGGTTCCTGCCCTGAGTTCCTACCTTGGGCTCCCTGATGAACTGCGTGCGACCTGGGAGATGTAAGACAAACTCTTTCCTCCCCAAGTTGGTACTGGTCAGAGTGTTTTGTCACAGCAATGAAGAACAAACTAAGAGGCATAAAGGCCCCTCAATCTGGGAGGCCAGTAAAAGTCCTGCCCTCATACCCGGAGAACAGGGACACGGCAGAAACTTTGCTCTTCTAACTTCCTGGGGCCCTTACAGCAGCCTCAATATTTATTTGCTTGACACTGGATAGTTATTACACTGAAGTTTTTTTTTTGTTTTGTTTTGTTTTAAAAAAATTTTATTTTATGTGTATGAATGTTATGCCTGCATGTAAATAAGTACACCCGTGTCATGCAATGCCCAAGGAGGACAGAAAAGGCTGTCTGGAACTGGAGTTACAGACAGTTGTTAGCTGCTATGTAGGTGTTGGGATTCGAACCCGGGTCCTCTGCAAGAACAGTGTTCTTAACCCCTAAGCTATCTCTTCAGCCCCTTTTTTGTTTGTTTGCTTTTTTTTGAGACAGGGTCTCCCAGTAGCCCCAGCTGGCCTGGCACTCGCTATGTAGACCAGTTTGGCCTCCAACTCACAGAGATCCACCTGCTTCTGCCTCCCAAGTGCTGGGATTAAAGGCACGTGCCACCACTACAGTGAACTCTTTACCAGAGCTGGAGCTGGAGGTGCCTCCTTCAGGACATGAGTAAACAGTAGTTTCTGCTCTTGGCTAATGCCCAAAGAACTCCTTCCCGAAGGAAAGCAGAGTGGGATAGCTTGGAGGATAGTGCAGCATTTAAAGACAGCAGTATTTGAATCCAGCTCCACATCCATTTTTTGTAGAAAGCTCTTCCTGAATCTCCCTGGCCTCAGTGAGGCTTTCCTTCTCAATGGCTTTGTAAACTCTGAGCTGTAGGGTTCTGCTTGAGCTTCCATCTCTGGTAGTAACATATCTCATTCTTGAAGAAAGCAATCACTAGGTATTGCCAGGGAACGTCAGTGAACAGTACATGTAAAGAGCTCTGTACAGTGTCCTCTGAGCACACAGAACATCCTTAAAAGATGGAAGCTATCAGTTTTGGCTCTTCAGCGTATGCTCTCATAACTCAGAAACACACTTTTACAAGACTTAACATGTCTACCCCCACTTCTACGGTGTTACGCACCAGGTAGTGTGAGGAAGAGGACAAGTAAGTATGGACCGATTGTTTATAATTGACTAGCAGTGTGCTTAGAGGTTGAGGAACAGCTGAAGAGCAGGCAGGGTGCCAGCTGGCCAGAACCCAGATTAATGGGTTTACTTCCCAGAAGCTAGGTGGTAGAAACCATCATTCCCTATTCCATGAAAAAGCATGCCATGGGACTGGACGACAGAAATTCAGAGAAATGCCACTTCAGAGGCAAACACCTCTCCAGTCTTTAACTCAGTTTTCCCAGTACTAATGTGTCTGCCAAAGACACCTAAAGACTAAGACAGCAACTAACTTCCCAGAGCAAAATGCTTCTCATAGAACTTTCTAGAGTAGGCTTTACTGATACCCTCTTGGCATGCACTTAGAAAGAGATGTTTTGTTGAATTAATCTGCAGTCTAAACTGAGTCTGGAAATCTGCTTAAAACATCTTATCAAAGGCATTGAATCAGATGTGGTAACAAGTGACCAACCTAAGGTTTTTGTTTTTTTCAGACTCATGTTCAGTTTGTATTGTTCAGATAAGCAGCTTCTTGTCTGGCATAAAAATTACAAAGTTCAGAGCAGAAAAGATAGACAACTGCTGAAGCTGTGGGTCCACACATTCTGTTTTCAACAGTACAATACAAACGTTGCCCATATTCACCTCTTGGGTGAAACAGTGAGAGCTCAACTTAAACAGAGCATACTTAAAAGCGGTGTTGACAATTCCCATACCTAATGGAAACCGCAAGTGGAAACCCAGGGACCACTGTCACTATGTCCTCATTTTACATGGAAACTGCAGCCGTGTAGGGTAGTAACTAGTCCTGGGCTCCAGTGGGGAACCACCAAGTCACCTTGCTAACAACCAGATGTTTTTTGTCAGGTTATCATCTCAGAAAGCCACAGTTGGGTTAGAAAAGCATTTAGGGATCCAAAGTCTATTTTTTTCACTTTATAAATCAAACTTTAATATAAGTCAATCACATTTTAACTTCAACAGAAAAGTTTTATCTTTCAAGAAAATGAGGATTTTTTTTCCCTGTTATATTTAGAAATAACTATCTGAAACAACTTGGGGGCAGGGGAAGTAAAGCACATCCAACACTTGAATAGCTCTCAGGACATTATGCTCACTGAAAAGGGAGAAGGCTAAATAAAAACAAAGAAAAATTTAAAAGTATAATTCTGTTTATATAAAATCTCAAAATTACAAAATTCTAGTGGCTAAAAACATATCACCAGTTATTAGGGATGGGGACTGGAGGGAGGGGAAGGAATTGAAGGAAGGGTTTGTTTTAAAGGTTAGTGGAAGCTATGTGAGTCTATGTGATACAATTTCATACAGCTATACACAAAAAATGCAAATAAACGAATACATGTAAAACCTCATGGGCTGAGGTATGAAGCTCAGTGGTAGAACACTCATTTAAAAGGCCTCTGATACGAGGTGCTGGGTTCAATCCCCAGCACTGTCTCTCCCCACAAACAAACAAACAAATAAAAAAAAAACAATTTAGGCTGGGTGTGGTGGCGCATGCCTTTAAATCCCAGCACTTGGGAGGCAGAGGCAAATGGATCTCTGTGAGTTCGAGGCCAGCCTGGTCTACATAGCAAGTTCCAGGCCAGCTGGGGCTACAAGGAGACTCTGTCTCAAAAACATATACACACACACAAAAACAACTTAAAAGTTCTATGGAGGCTGGGCATGGTAGCACATGCCTTTAATCCAGCACTTGGGAAGCAGAGGCAGGTGGATCTCTGTGAGTTTGAGGCCAGCCTGGTCTACATAGTGAGTGCCAGTCCAGCTGGGGCTACTGAGAGACCCTGTCTCAAAGACTGAAAAAAAAGCTCTATGGTTTAGTTAGAACTGTGCCTAATGTAATTTCTTGGTTTTGAAATTTACTATGATTATGTAAGAAATTGTCATTGAGGACACTGGGTGAAACATATGCCTGAGCTGGGCTTGGAAAACAGGAGGACTGGCAAGTTTGAAGCCAGCCTAGGCTACATATTGAGACCTTGTCTCCGAAAACCAAAGATTAGGCATTCAAGCTCAGAAGCAGAGCTCAATAACAGCCCTTTAGCATCTACAAGGTCCTGGCTCTTATCCCCAGAACCGGAGTAGGCATAGTACATCTGAACTTACTTTACTGAAAGAGCTGATCTTAGGGTTGGATTTTTGTTTTTGATTTAGGTTCAATGATGCCCAACAAAAATCCTGCCTTCCCACTAACCAGCCATCTCACAATGGAGGCACTTAATGATGTGTAATTAGCTACTACAAAGAAACAGACTGACTCCTACAATGATTAGAAATCCCAAAGGTTCCGGCTTCTTCTAAGTGCCTTCAGTTAATACCCAATCCTCAATCACAAAGGAAGGAACTAAAGATTTAAAATAACTTTGGTAACTGTCTGAGACGCTTTACATCTAAGAAGGTGCCTACAGAACTCATGCTGTTCATCTGCTTTAAAGTTTCATAAGGTTGCAAACTTTCAGGAAAAACTGGAATGTCCCTTTCATTTTCTTTCTCAGGATGTCGAGTAAACTCTGCTTTTCCAGTTCGGAGATTCCCTGAAGGGCTTGGTTTAAGATTCCTTGATGAGAACGTAGGGTCTTCACTCAACTGCTGTGTTCCTTTTGGCTGCAGAACTTCATTTGTGATGTTTCGGAGTACTGGTATATCTGTGTGCATGTCCTCAGACTCACACTTGTAACAATCCATTACTTCACAGGCATTCCTAGAGGGCACCTTCTGACGACTGAATTGTGCAGGTCCGCATGCAGGACCCCTATTTAACGGATGGTCACTCTCACCATCCTCATGGCTGGGAAGCTCCTCTTCGTCTTCACTACTGTCACTGCTTTGTATAAGCCCGTATCTCTTCATGTATTTTTTTGTTGCAAATGACATGTTGTTTGGTGAAACTAAGCTAAGACCCACTGTGCTTCTGTCTGTATTAATATGGAGAAGGCTAAAAGATGAGTCACAGTCATTCTGGTTTGATCGAGCAAGCGACAGTTGTGACAGCTGATTTTCATTTAAGTATTTCAGAGCTATGGCATTTGCCTCCATGCTCAAATCCACACCAGTGGGACTGAAGCCACTCATGCCAACATTAGCAAATGACACGTAGTTTAATCCAGAGATCACTGCTTCCGGGCTGATGCGTGCCAGAACACTGAAAGACAGAAGAGTAAGCCAGTTTTTTACCTTATTTTGAGTAATAGAGTTTTATTCTAGAAAAGTAACAAAGTTTTGGCTTTATGCTTACTGACTACTCAGAGACAGTCCTCAAGATGCAGATACACATTCAGGGATAAATATGATAACCTGGAGGCAACCCCTGTTCACAGATAGTTCTAAGCATGAATACAAGGCTTTGAATATGAGTCATTAAATATTGCCATGCTACTTAATTTTTGACTCTTAATCCCAAATAGCATGATAAATCAGCTAACATTCAATGTAAAGTAAAATATAAAAGTGAAATCAAGCATGCAACACATCTGTGTGCCTCTAGTAAATAGAAGAGAAAGTAAGATTGCCATAGTAGACAACACTCCATTTGCAACAATGAGAAACAAGTGGACTGGCTACGGTTTATGCAAACACACATACTGACTTTTGTTTCACTAGAATCTTCAACTCTTGTATTATTAACCGATGTGTTCTTTCTTTCATGTCAACACATACAATAATAATAGCTGCCAATTCTCATTCAGGTCTTCTAGGTGTCAGCTACCCTGTTGAACGCTTTCTATACATTATCTTCTTTCTCCTTCTTCATGGTAACCTTTTTCAGGAAAGTGTGCCCTCACCTACTTCAAACTCATTCTCTACTTCAACACTTTATATTCCTTTCCCCCTAATTTTCCACTTTTTTCCCTTAGCATTTATTGCTACCTATATATCCAATGTATATGTCTTATTATTGTCTGATTCCCTAAGAAGAGCTAACGAGGACAGAGACTTTGGTCTGCTTATCGCTATTGCAGCGTCCTTGGTACCTGGAAGAGTGCTTGCCACATACTAAGCATTTACTTAGTAAATACCGAATGTGTAAAAACAAGTAGTCATTGTAATCCTTATTTTCAGTTGAGAAAACCGAGGAGCAGATTTAACCAACTTCTCTAAAGTTCAACAGTTAGTAAATGGCAAGGGGAGACTGAACTCCACATTTGCCACACTCTGGGGCTCTGTAACTGCTGACTCTGCTTGGCACCCTGCATTTGGCTATCAGATTTCTTGGCTATCTGTTGTGGCAAACATTATGTTCTCGTCAAAGAATACACCATGACTTGCCACATCGTCCTATTTAAAAACTCCATTCACTTACGTCTACCAGCCACTGCTTATACTCAAAGCTCTGTAAAAAACAAGTAATTATTTCCATTTTTACAAGCACCAGAAGTTCAGAAGAAGTTACTTCCAATCACTAAATATCCCCAAACCACTGCTGTCACCACCAAATGGCAGACTATGTGCTCAGTGACGCTGGCTTTATAGTAGCTTGTGAGTGTCCCTTGCCCTTCTTGCTACCTACAATTGGCAAGAACAAAGGGAAGAGATGCAACCAATTTACCTAGACATACATTTTTTTACCATACATTTTAATGATATATTCATAGTCATAATGCCTTCTGAATATATATAAGCCTTCTGAAATCATAAGCAATTTTCCAAGAATTGTATATGTATCATGCATATAGATTAGTGTAAATAATTTGATAAAGCAAATAAAAATCTCTAATTCAAAATTACAAATATTTAGAGAAAGTAGGTGTTTCATAGAAGAATTGAAGAACTTATGAAGCAAAATATGATTTAGAAGGTTCTTCAAGTTTTCTTCAAGTTTCACCATCTAACAGAGCTGCTTAGTTTCAATTTGGGGGTCAGGGGGACACCATTAATTTGAAAGCAAAAGGAGCCACTCCATTAATCAAATCCTACAAGCTTTTCCACAAATACACAGTATAAGAATCTCATCTGATGCACAATCACATGGTCTACATAGTGAGTTCCAGGCCAGCTGCAGCTACAGGGAGACCCTGTCTCAAAAAGACCAAAAACAAAACAAAACAAAACAAAAAAAGAGAATGAAAGTTCAAGAATAAGTTCAAATAAGACAAGTACTAAATTTGAGGTGGCTGGAGAGATGGTTCAATGCTTAAGAGCACTGGTTGCTCTTGCAGAGGACTCGAGTTTGATTCTCAGCACCCACATGGTGGCTAATAACTGCCTGTAACTCCAGTTCCAGGGAATCCAACGCTCTCTTCTGACCTCCTTGGGTACTGCAGGACATGGGTGCACCTATTTACATACAGGCAATACACTCATACACATAAAATTAAAATAATAAATAATTTTTTGTAAAAGACAAGCACTAAAATACTTAAAATAGCATTTACTTAAAGGTGAAGATCCCTACGCATCCTATGCAAGTCTTCTAATAACAAGCAGACAGCCAGAAAGTACAGTAAAGAAGGAGCCAGACAGGCTGCCAGATCCTGAATTCAAGGGTCAGTCTAGCTGGCAAACTGCCTGTAGAGGCTGCACCAGACCAAGCCTGCATTCTCCATCTCCAGTGTGATTAACTGACTGGTTGATTCGTTTGCTTCTTGTGTGCGAGCAGGTGTGTGGTGTTTGTGTACATGTGCATGTGTTGTGTGCATATGTGCTTGGAGATCAGAGGTCATTAAGTATCTTCCTTGATCACTCTCCTCATCTTTTGGGACAGGGTCTTTCATTGAACCCAGCACTCACCGATTGGCTAGATTGGCTGGCCAGTGAGCTCTGGAGACACAGACCCACCTATCTCTAACCCCACAGTGTTAAGGCTATTTTTAAAAATACTTTAAATTATGTGTATATGTGTCTGTGTGGAAGTATGTGTACATGAATGCAGTGTCCTCAGAAGAGGGCATCAGATCCCCTAGAGTGGTTGTTCCATAGGTGCTGGGAACTAAACTCAATTCCTCTGCAAGAGCAATATGTGCTCTTAATCACTGAGCCATTTCTCCAGCTCCCAGGCCATTTTTTTGTTTTTTAAACACAGGTGCTAGGGATCCCAACTCAAGTCCCCCTGCTTGTACAGCAGGCACTTCACCAACGGAGCCACCTCTCTAGCCCACCTAGATGATTTCTAGGTGTACCTAGGACCCTTTCCCTGCCTTCTTGCCTTTGGATCCTCTTAATCTTTGCATTGGGAAAGAAAAGTAGAAGGACAATCTTCCTCCACTGCCTAAGTAGGATGTGCTCCTGGAGACCAGAATAAGAGCACAAGGGAGTCTCCGCACAAACCCACTGACATGAGCGCTGGTTTATAGAGCTAGAGAAACTGTATGGGCTACACAGACTACTCCATTTGTAACACCGTCTCTGCAGAAAAATGAGCCCTAAACTCTACACAATGGCCTTTTATGAACGTTTAGTACCCAGTTATCTTATTATGTGCGTTAAGTTTCTTTGGTAAAATGTTTCAAATTACATGCTATTTTTTATGTATATGTACAAATACACATGTCACAATTGTGAGTCTTGGTGAGAGAATGGAAGTCAGAGGACAACCTAAAGGAGTTGGTTCTACACGTGGATCCTAGGAAATGATTTCCCAGATTCCACAGGGGCAAGAAAACATACTGACTTGTGAAAGTTGTCCTCTGATCTCCCTTGAACATGCATGCTGCATTTACACACACAAACACACACAGGTAATAAAATAGTAACAAAACAAGATCATAGGTACTGACAGCAAGCATGATAGATCTGAATAGTGAACATTCATTATAAGCCTCAGTGGTGATATGAGTAGGTGGGATTTCCCCGAAGGCCCACAAAGTGTTACAGAAACAATAAAATTCAATTAGCCTGCCTTCTACATCCATGGGTTCTACATCCTGGGATTCAAGCAAGACCAGATCAAAAATACTGCAAGAGAAAAAAAAACTTCCACTTGCGCTGAACACAGACTTTTTGCCTTTCAGTTGTTTTCCTAAACACTACAGTACAGTAACTATTTTTACTTATTATGTACATTGTATGGACAGTTTAAGTAAGCTAAAATTGGCATAAACTACAGGATACGCACTACTTATATGCAAATATCATGCCATTTTATATAAAGGACTTAACACACGTGTATTTTGGTGTTTTTAAAGGATCCTGGAACTAATCTATGGATTGTAAAAGATGACTAGATAATGAAATTTAAAAATTTACCAGAGCCAGGCAAGGTGGTACGCACCTTTAATCCCAGTACTCCGGAGACAGAGGCAGGTGGATCTCTGTGAGATTGAGGCCAGCCTGGTTTACATAATGAAATCCAGGCCAGCTAGGAGGACAGGAAGACCCTGTCTCAAAAAGGCTGTCACAAGTAAATGCTACAGACTATCAAGAACAGAAAATTCTTCCCCCTCCTAGATAAGGTCTCTTGGTAGCCCAAGCTGGAATAGCATGTAACTCAGGTTGGCCTCACAACTCTCCTGTCTCAGTCTCCTGGGTGCTGAATTACAGGTGTATGCCACTATGCCTGGCTTAGAAACAAACTACTTTCGAAGTACAAAACATCAGTCCAGGAGGCCTTAGCAGACAGTCTGAGAGGGCCTGTTCTGACCTCCATCAGCGTAGGGGCTGGTATTTCAGCAGACAGCCTGAGAGTGCCTGACCTGGCCTCCCTCTGGCATAGGGGCCAAGAACTCAGCAGACAGCTTAAGAGCTGGATCTGACCTCGATGTGGTGGTGAGCTTCTTCAAAACACAACATACTCAATCCACTAACAGGGATTACATGAGGCCCCTCCCGCGGTCCCAGGGCAGACCTCCGAGAACATGAAACCTAGACCAACCAGCTTTACATAATCAATAAGGAAACAATCAAGGCACACCAGTTATACAAACAGAAGCAAACTTCAACTTGATTTTCATACCAGAATCACAAACAAAAGAAATTCACATGCCAAAATCATAACAAAAAAGTAATAAAATGGAAAGCCAAAACACTATGTCCCCACCAAACTCCACCAGTCCTGTAGAAGAGTTCTACAAGGAGAACCCCCTAGAGATAACCCAGGATACAGAATTTAAGAGAACAATCATAAACATGATCAAGGAATTCAACAAATTTAAAGAATACACAAACAAATCAAAGAACTAAAGGAGGATAGGAATAAACTTCTGAATGAATTCACAAAAGAGAAACATTGAAGAAAACTCAGGCAGAAATGAAGAAGGAAGTGCAAAACTCAATAAGCCAACTTGAAACAACAGGGGAAAGCCTCACCTCTAGAATGAATAAAATGGAAAAACAGAATATCAACACTGGAGGATAAAGGTGAAGAACTGGACCACTCAAGCAAAGATTATGAAAAATGTTTAAAAACCACAGGAATGGAATATACAGGAGATGTGGGACACCATGAAAAGATCAAATCTACAGATCATAAGCATAGAGAAAGGAGAAAAATTTCAGGTTAACGGTATTGACCAGATCTTAAACAGTATTGTAGAAGAGAATTTCCCAAAATTAAGGAAAGACATCCCCATACAAATACAAGAAGCACATAGAACACCAAACAGACAGAACCAGAAAAGAAACTCCCCACAACATACCACAGTAAAAACACTAAACGTTCAGAACAAACAGAGAATACTGAAAACTGCAAAAGAAAAACAAGTCAAATATACAGGAAAAACCATCAGAATTACAGCTAGACTTATCAATGCAAACTATGAAAGCCAGAAGAACCTGGATCAAAGTATTTCCTGCTTTAATTTCCTTCAGAAAAATTCTATCTATGGGGGCTGGAGAGACAGCTCAGTGGTTAAAAGCATTGGCTGCTCCTGCAGAGGACCCAGGTGCAATTACCTGCACTCACATGGCAGCTAACAACCATCCAGTTCCAGCTTATTTGGCGCCCTCTTCTGGCCTCTGCAGGCATTGCACACATGGGTATACTTACATGCAGACAAAACATTCATGAACATAAAATAAAAATAAAATTTTAAATTTAAAAATACTATTTATGTCTATGAAGTTTTCAAATCAAACACAGTTAAGTAAATTTAAAAGTGGGTATCACCTTAAGACCCTATTGCTGAAGATACTGCATACCTTGGCTGCATGACATAGGAAATCAAGTTGGAGCTGAGCTAAACGCTTCCTCCCTGTTGGCTAGAAGGTGTCATGCAGTCTGCTGAGGGAGAAAAGGCATCGATGGACTTACCCAGCTGCGAACCCTATCAAATATATTAACCTATCAGGCAAGATGTGCCCACTTGTGCAATAGTCACATAATGGTTATGGGGTTAACCTACCATTCTGACTGGATTTGAGGCCTACTCCACAGGAGGGAATCATGTCTAGTGCTGTAAACCTGGTAAAAAAACAATAGCTGTGGAGGTCAAAGGCCCTTAGGGAGGAATTTAATACCACTGTGGTTTAGTTAACCTGTCATATCATATCATATTTAGTAACATATCATTAAACTGAAGAGCCAAAATGCTCTGACTCTATTTTGGCTAGCTTCTTTAGACAAGCCCAGACAAGCTCAGGCATACTGTACATGTAAAAGCCTTATAAGGTATGAACAAAAACTTCTGACTCTAAAAGATATTAGTTAGCACATTCCAATGCCCTGAAGACAGCCCCTACCAATCAAGACTTTCCCTGTACACAGGATATGGGGACATCCAATTATTTTAAAAAGATGCTTGGCACGTGGGTTTCTGTGGAGTGCCCCAATAAAAGCTCCTGCCTGCTATTGTTCGGGGCCACACTCCATCTTTGGCTTGTGAAGTCTGCCCAGCTAGCCGCCATTTGGTTGTTGTCTTTTTTTAACTTTAAATTCTTAAATAAACTTGTTGTATAATCTTTCTGGGTATCTGTGGGAATTATTCTTGATTCTCCAACCCTAACAAAACAAGCTTCTAAATATTTATGTTTGTTCCCATAGACTAATGCTACACTCAGCTTTAATCAGAGAAGCCGCTCTTTCCAGTAAATAGGGGTGAATGCACAGAGACTCATGATGCACAAAGTTCTGAAAGTAAATGACAGTTGAGTGCTCAACCCTAAACAAGGTATTTGTAGTGTCCCTCTAATGCTCAGGGAACACTGAAGAGATCTCACTATGTAGCCGTAGGTGGTCTGGACTCTCTCTGTAGATCAGGCTGGTCTTGATCTCACAGAGATCCACCTGCGTCTGCCTCCTGAGTGCTGGGATTAAAGTATGTGAAACTACGCCCAGCTATTGCTTGTTTTCTAAACCAGGACATTTTGTTTTCTAATAACAAAAGCAATGATCAGAAAACTTACAAGTCTTAATATAATTCCCAGATTTTATTTTTTTTGCAACAAAACATTAAAAAAAATTTAGTTATTATTTTAAATTTATTTGTATGTGTGTATTGCTTGCATGTAGGTAAGTGCACCTGTGTTGTACAATGCCTGCGGAGGACAGAAGTTGTTGGATCCCCTGAAACTGGAGTTACAGGCAGTTGTTAGCTGTCATGTGGGTGCTGGGATTCAAACCTCGGTCTCCTGCAAGAACAGCCAGTGTTCTTAACCGCTGAGCCATCTTTCCAACCCCGCAACAAAACATTTTAAAGACATAAAATGCAAACATACAAACAAATCAGCTAAACAACAACAAAAAAGAAAGAAAAATTCTGTTCCAATCTGTACTCTGATTTTTAATAGTGAAGTGCTCTGCCCAAGATTCCTATAGCCACACATATCTGAAGTTTAATCGTGAAGACTATTTGTTACAGAGTTCGGGACCACTGGGAAAGACTACCCAGACTCAAAATGTTCCAAATCAGCTGAATTAAGTTTTTACAATTTCATTAGAATTTTAAAGAAAAAGAAATCCTCAGGCAGGTGAGCTTGTAATCTTGGCAGCTGCCTTGAGGAGGAGGTCAGACATGTGGCTGACTGACAGCCACAAGAGGTATACCTATTGAGGTTGTATTTGATAAAGAGGAATCTAAACCAAAGGATCTAATAGCCACATATGATCAAAAGGAATGTCTGTGTTTCCTCACACCTGTGGTTATATAACACCAGGGGCTGGTGTGTCACCTGCTATTTCCAGGAAGATTTTCAGATACTGCCAATACAACTCATTTCTCTTTGTCCAGTATTTTTCTGGTAACCCTATTCAGGAAAGATATTAATAAAACAATAAAGAGTACCAGCTGCTTTTGCAGAGGATCTGGGTTCGATTCCCAGCACCCACATGGTGGCTAACAACTCCAGTTCCAGGGGATCTGATGCCTTCTTCTGACCTTTGAGGGCAACGTACCTACATGCAGGCACTATACTCATACATATAAAATAAAAGTAAATATTAAAAAATATAAAACAATTAATCCTCAAGTAATTTTTATATGGAACCTCTCCTACGAAAACAATTTAAAATGTGCAGATGATCCCTTCGGCCTATATACAGTAGGTCCTAAATAAATGAACTCAACTGAATTGGGGTACAAACACACGTGTTCAGGAGAATACTACACTGTTATCTAAAATGGATTTATCTTTTAAAACAAAATTTAAAGTTACCTGGCATGATCCACTTTGTGTGCATTTTTCTTCACTTTAGTGGGAGAATCAATTTTGACTCCCAAACTCCTTAGCTGTTTTAGAGTGGCATTGAGGACACAATCTTTATCTACTAGTCCTGAGTTAGGCGTTTTTTTCCTTGCATGGTAAACATCTTGGGTTTTGGTGCATTCGTGGCTAATAACTACTGCTTTGGCAGGTGCTTGATCAGTTTCTTTGGAGGAGTTACTTAATAGGTGGTTCACTTGACCCTAGGAAAAGAAAAAGGATATACTTTTAAATCACTAATAATCTTAAGAACTTCAATTTCTTTTCTCTTTTACATTTTATGTATTCAGTATGTTTGTGTATGTGCACTCTCATGCATACATGGAGATCAGAGAACAACTTGTGGGAGCCAGTTCTCTCTTCTTCCACCATGTGGGTCCTTGGGAGCCAGTTCTCTCTCCTTCCACCATGTGGGTCCTGCAGATTGAACTTCAACTGTCAGGGTTGTCAATTGGTGCCCTTACCTGCTGAGCCATCTTGCTGGTCCCAAGGTATTTTAAAAAAAGATTTATTATGTATTTATGTGTATGTTTGTGTGCCTGTATGTACTCACATACACACATGTGGCATACACTCATAGATAGATAAATAAAAATGATAAAAATAAATATTTAAAAAAGCATCAAGCCAGGTGTAGTGGCACACACCTTTTATCTCAGCACTCGGGAGGCAGAAGCAGGTGGATCTCTGAGATTGAGGCCAGCCTAGTCTATGTAGTGAGTTCCAGGCCAGCTGGGGCTACAGGGAGACCCTAACTCAAAAAACTAAACCCCCGCCCAAAAGCCAACAGGTAAAGGGGAAAGTGAGGGATATCATTAAAATATATTGCATGCATGCGAAATTCTTAAAAGAATAAATTAAAAATATTATGTTTAAAAAAACCCCAAACAGGTCTGGAAATGCTTATGTGCAATCCCAATCCTTAGTAGGCAGAGACAGGAGTCTTGAGTTCAAGGCCAGTATGCATTATAGTAAGGTCCTGTCTTCCTGCCTCTCCTCACCACCCTCCATCCCTACAATAAAAATAAAGCACATAAGGAAAGAAAATCACCAAAACCAACATATTTAAATCACTCATTTGCAAGTTGGCAGTGTGTTTCAGACTTTCCTGTTACTTTTACAATTAGGCTCCTTTCTTTCCTACTTTCTAAAAAAATAAGAATGCACTGTGATACTCTGAATTCATGACATCGAGGCATATTTCACTTCCTGAGCATGTAAGCTGGCATCACTCTAGGACCTAGCAGGCAAGTAACAAATACCTGTTTACGGATGAATACAAAGGACTCTACTGAAGTATGTTTAACTAATCATCAATTACAAATAAGGAAACAAAATGTTCCAAAGTCTACAATTTTATGGAAGTGAAAGTTGGGGTCATTTTAACCATAAGTTCCCATTTCCATTCTAAGTTTTCTAAGAAAACTAGGCCCAGGAGCACACACTCATTCTGTGTTCTTGGCTTCACACCGCTTCTCAACCTGTCACATGGTTATGCCTGGTTGTCCTGTGTTAGTATTTTCCCTTTGATCTCAAAGGTACAGACAGACTATCATAGTCATCATTATATTATCCATTTTGCTTAGTCTCTTTTTTTTTTTTTTTTTTTTTAAGGTTGCTTTGCAATAAAATTTATTTTTAGCAATACACAGCAGGCTAGATTTGTTCCTGGGGGCCACCGTGTGTTGACTGCTGGTAGAAGTGAGTCATCTTGGTAAGTTCAGTGAGTAGCATAAACCATAAAATGCAGTTCAAACTGGATGCATTCAGAGAAGCCCACAAAGGGGAAAAAAAGAAACTATAGCTCCACAGCTTGACTATGTGGAGTTAACACAAAGCAATCAAGGTGCCATCCTGGAGTGTGGGCTACAAATAAGCCCACGATACAGTATTGTAGTTAAAGATGAAGACAGAAGGAAAACCTCAACTGAGTTGGGGATGCAGGTTTCTAGGAACATGACTGTGACCCTTCATCACAGCCAGGTGTGGTGGCACATGCCTATAATCTCCAGCACTTGGGAGGTAGAGGCAGGAGGATCATGAGTTCAAGGCCAGCCTCAGCTACACAGTGAGTCTGAGGCCACCTTGGGCTACATGAGACAGTCTCAAAGAAAAACTGTGGGCCTTCACCATCAGAAAGGATCTATGAGGGGCTGGGGATGAAGCTCATTGGCAGAGTGCCTGCCTAGTGTGCATGAGGCCCTGGGTTTGATCCCAAACACTACACAGGAATGAGTGTGCACACACACACACAGACACACACACACACACACTCAAATTCATACATACACAGACACACAACATGTGTATGAAGAATCATGTATCTTGTAAGATTGGAGCCCAGGTTTAGTTTGTTTCCTTGTAATCTACGAGTATTCTAGCATGAGGCTGCAGACAAATTGTTTAGTAAATGCTTATTTATTTATAGTCAAATATGGGCAAGTTTAAAAATTAATAATTCTATTATTGAGAAAACGCTTAAGCCAGGCATGGTGGTACACACTTTTAATCTCAGCACAGGCAGAGGCAGGTGGATCTCTTTGAGTTCAAGGCTGACCTAGTCCACATAGTGAGTTCCAGGACAGCTGGGGCTGCAGGCTTAGTCTCCTTCTAAGACAAGTATTTAATAAATATCTGTTTACCTGAACTGAAAGCAGCAAATACTGTCATGAATATTATACAATTTTCCAATTTCTTACAAACTCAAGTTGTTTGTATTCTTCCTCCCCATTCTAACTTTAGTATGAATTTGGCAATATAGCAATTTACACTTTTATTTATTTTTTTGGTCTTTTTGAGACAGGGTCTCCCTGTAGCCCCAGCTGTCCTGAAACTCACTATGTAGACCAGGCTAGCCTTGAACTCACAGAGATCCGCCTGCCTCTGCCTCCCAAGTGCTGGGATTAAAGGCATGCATCATCACGCCGGCTATCAATTTACATTTTTAAAATAAGGATTTTTTTTTTTCTGGCTAAGGACCTGATAACTGGCAAACTTATAATCAATTGCTGAATTTAAGTTAATCAAAATTTATGACAAGCTAACGTGTGTTGCTAAGTAGTCAAAATTATTTCTATTTCAAATTCTCATAGTTTAAAACTAGGGAAACCTTAACTAACATTTCCTATATTAAATAAGCATCTCACTAAGATGAAATGCTCTATGCTTACCAACAAGTCTTGGTAAACTTTCTGGTTATCTTCTGTCAGTTGGTGAGGCTCAGCTTCTGGCTCCCCTGGCGTTTCACTGCCGTATCTGGCCTCCTGTGTTGCGGGCGGACTCTGTAAGCACATGCTCACACTCTCAGCCAGCAGAGCACTTGGAAAGAACATGGGCACATCAGGCTCTTTTCTCTTCTCTGAAGAGGAGCTGCATGAAAGGACATTTGTGGTAAGTGTTAGCTATCAAAGGACTTGTGACAGATATTTGAAGTGTAGCAATTTTGGAAAGAATGAGGTTAAGACCCAAGTAGCATCTAGTTTGTATTCAACTCCTTTTTTAAAAGTTTATTTTGCCGGGCATGGTGGCACATGCCTTTAATTCCAGCACTCAGGAGGCAGAGGCAGGCGGATCTCTGTGAGTTCGAGGCCAGCCTGGTCTACATAGCGAATCCAGGCCAGCTAGGTCTACAGGGAGACCCTGTCTCAAAAAAGACCAAAAAAAAAATTATTTTATGCATATGTGTGTGTGCCTGAGTGTATAAACGTGCACTATGTGCATTCAGGCAGTTCTGAGTCTCCATGTGGGAGCTGGGAACCAAATCCAGGACCTCTGGAAGAGCAGCAAGTACTCTTGACCACTGAGCCAACCCTCCAGTCCATATATTCAACTGTTTGTAATATATATAAACACACCATTTGGCAGACTGCATATAAACAAAACCATAATACCATTCAAGTTATGCTATTTGTTATACTATTTAAGATAACTTTCTTTGGGGCTGGAGAGATGGCTCAGGGGTTAAGAACACTGGTTGCTCTTGCAGAAGACCCAGGTTCAAATCCCAGCACCACATGGCAGCTAACAACTATCCATAACTTCAGTCCCAGGGGATCCGACAGCCTCTTCTGACCTCTGCGGGCATTGCACATCACAGGCTGCACTTACCTACATGCAGGCAATACACGCATACACATAGAGTAAAAATAATAAATAAAATTTAAAAAAAAAGATAACTTTTTTGAAGGCTAGAAAACAACCTACTTTTATCTCCTTGATGCAACAAAACATTTTTAGGTTATCTAAAACATTTAAATATATAATTTGCTCACTTCAAGTTTTAAAATAATGAAAGATCCTTGTCAAATTAAAGTTTATCAACTACTATTACTAACCTCAACAGTAGGTTGATGATACTTCTCTTTGTTTTGTATATTTCTTTACAGTTTTTTTAGGGCATTTATTACTTCAAGAGTGTAGAAACTGAAATGACTGGAGAAGGCAGCAACAGACCTGTTCTTTGTTAGAACAGTAATCTGTGGTCTTGTAGAAAATAGAAAAAAGAGCTGGGTGGTGGCACACAGCTTTGATCCCAGCATTCAGGAGGCAGAGGCAGGCGGATCTCTGTGAATTCAAGGCCAGCCTGGTCTACACAATGAGTTCCAGGACAGCTGGGGCTACAGGGAGAGCCTATCTCAAAAAGACCAAAAAAATTTAAAGGGCAAAGGATCTAAAAACAGAAAAATGGCAAAGAAAACCCCCCAAAACTCCATGCAGATAACGAATGTCAATATGAATTAAATCTCTTGCAAAAATCATTTATTACCTATAGACACATTCTGTTGGCATGACTGTGGAGAAAGAAATACTCTTATGAATTGTTAGTGAGAGTGCAAACTGGCATGACCCTCTAGAAAGCAATATGATAATGCCTAAAAGAAGTCATGAATACATTTGATTTTAGATGCAGGAATCACTTCTAAAATAATTTAAAAATATACATGTGCAAGGTGATTCACTGTGGCATTGTTTTAACTGCAAGCTACTGTAAGGAATCCAAATGGCCACATGCAGCGATTAAACTATGATATAGCCATACAATGGAGGATGAGAAAGAACTCTAGGAACTACTTTGGAATGTTTTCTGAGAACCTACAGAATGCTACTTTTCTAAACATCAAGTGACATAAGAAAATATGGATGTATGTGATCATCTGTGTAAAGGAAATGCAGAAATAAACCAGAAACTGAAAAAATGTGTTTCCTGAAGGTTTCTGCCAGTGGATGCCCATATTGCATCACGTGACCTCATTCTATCGTTGGTTCTGAACACGCAGCATATATCCTCTGTATTGTGTGTGCTCTATCACACTTCAAAGTATTCATGATAGCTGTCTGAAATCTTGGGGCTCAGATGTGAGACTATGTGATGAACTACTGTATTTATACTGTACACACAAAGTTTTCTAATCTTACAGAAACAAAATGGTTTAATTAAATATATTAGTTATATTTGTGCTGCAGTGATAAAACACCATAACCCAAGTACTTATAAAAGGAAGAGCTTAGGTCAGGCATGGTGGTGCAACACCGTTGATCCCAGCACTTGGGAGACAGAGGCAGGTGGATCTCTGTGAGTTCAAGGCCAGCCTGGTCTACAGAGTGAGTTCAAAAGAGGAAGAGTTTATTTGACTTAGGGTTCTAGAAAGATAAAAGTCTATCACAGCAGGGAGGCACAGCAGCGGAGGGGCTGGCGCAGAAAGCTGCACGCTTAAATCCGCAAACAGGGAACAGGAAGTAGAGAGGGAACAAACTTAAAATGGGGCAAGGCTACGAACTCTCAAAGCCCACCCCCAGTGATGTGCTTCCTCCTGCAAGGCTGCACCTCCTAAACCCCCTCAAACGGCTGCACCAGCTGGTGACAAAGTAGTCAAACATCTGAAATCTACGGCAGAACATTCCTCATTCAAACCACTAAACTGTAAAACCAAAGACTTTTAATATTTTCCTACTACCATTCCCCATCATGTAAATATTAAAGACTGTTATCTTTGGATCATACTGTGTTTGTGCTATTTAGTATTATGTGTTTATGCGCAGTCAGGTTCTTGGTATTGACTATTTATAAAATCAAAATATTCAACAACCTTTAAAATTGATGATCTTTCCTGCGTAAGTCCCACAGTGCCCAGCATGCCTTGACTCGCCCAGCCTCTTTCACTCTCCCAGCTCCCCAACCCCATCTCTCCTCCTACCCTGGGTACTGGTCCATTTCTTGTCTTGGCACCCCAGACCCCTGGACTGACCTCTTGGCCCAGAATCCCCACTGCTTCCTGATCCTTTGCATCCAGACCAACCCAATTCTTCCCAGTAGACCCCAGGAGCCCTTGGGGCCTCTTCCCGCCACCACCTCCCTTTACAACCTGGGTGGCACAGCCACCAGCTTCCTGAGACCAGCATTTCCTGGGCCATGCTCCCAAGCCAGTCCAGCCCCCAAATTCCTGAGGTTAGCATAATTCCTGGAGGGATCCAGACCTTAGGAGAAAGCCTGAGAGCATCTGATCCTCATCTGACTTGGGCCTCTGTGGGAACTCCTGAAGACAAAAGCAATCTGGCCACTCCAATATAAAATCAAGAGAGAACCTCAAGCCTAGACCAATCAGCTTTTCATGCCCAAAAGTAAACCACAAAAAGAAGCAGACCTAAACTGAACAAAGGAAGGCTTGACTCTCACACAAAAAGCAAAAACTAAAAAAGAAATCCACATGTCAAAGTGGCAGAGAAAAAAGAACAACATGAAAAACCAAAATAATATATTCCCACCAAGTACCAACAGTCCTCCAGAGGAGGACAATGAGAACCTCTCAGAGGTAACAAAGGACATGGAACTCAAAAGAACAATTATAAACATGATAAAAGAATTCAGTGAATTTAAAGAACACACAAATCAAAGAACTGAAGGAAGATAGGGATAAACTTCTGAATGAATTCAGAAAAGAGAAATATTGAAGAATACTCAGGCTGAAATGAAGAAGAAACTGAAATGCTCAGTAAGCCAATTAGAAATGACAGGAGAAAGCTTCACCAATAGGATGAATGAAATGGAAAACAGAATATCAAGACAGAAAGATAAAGTGGAAGAAATACACAACTCAAGAAACTATTATGTAAAATTTAAGAAAACAGGTGTGGTGGCGCATGCCTTTAATCCCAGCACTCAGGAGTCAGAGGCAGGTGGATGGATGTCTGTGAGCTGGAGGCCAGCCTGGTCTACACAGTGAGTTCCAGGCCAGCTGAGGCTACAGGGAGACCATGTCTCAAAAAGCGCCCCCCCCCCCGAAAAAAAAACCAAAAAGAAAAATTTAAGAAAACACAAGAATGGAATATGGAGGAATTGTGTGACACCATAAAAAAGACTAAACTTACGAATCATAGGCATACAGTAAGGAGAAGAATCTCCAGATAATGGTATGGACCAGATCTTCAACAGGATTGTAGAAGAAAATTTCCCAAAACTAAAGAAAGACATGCCCATACAAATACAAGAAGCATACAGCTAACATCAAATAGACAGGACCAGAAAAGAAACTCTCCACAGCACATCATAGTAAAAACACTAAACATATAGCACAAAGAAAATACTGAAAGCTGCAAAAGAAAAACAAATCACATATAAAGGCAAAACGATCAGAATTACAGCTGACTTTTCAGTGCAAACCATGAAAGCCAGAAGAGCCTGGGCGAAAGTTTTCCCAATTTTAAATGACCACAGATGCCAACCCAGATTACTTTACCAGCCAAAATGTCTATTATAGTCAAAGGGGAAAGAAAAATCTTTCATGACACAAATAGGCTGAAAGAATTCATGTCCACAAAACCAGCCCTTCAGAGAGTTCTTGAAGCAATGCAAAGAGCTGAAGACAGGAACGACTATACCCAAGGGGTTAAGGAAAGATACTTCATGAAGGTATAACTATGGAAATACACAGCTACACCAAGAATGTGAACAGAAATAAAAATGACAGGACTCAATACACATCTTTCATTACAAACTGAAATATCAATGGGCTGAATTCCCCAGTAAAAAGACACAGACTAGTTGAATGGATTAAGAAACAAAACCCATTGTTTTGTTGTCTGCAAGAAACTCATCTCATTTTCAAGGACAGGCATAAATACCTTAAGGTAAAAGGGTGGAAAAAAATATACCAAGAGAATGATACTAAGAAAAAAGCAAGTGTTACAATTCTAATATCTGACAAAATAGACTTTAAACTAAAAGTAATCAGAAGAGATAAAAAGGGCCACTTCATTCTGATCAAAGGAACAATTGACCAAGAAGATATTACAACCATGAACATATATTCACCAAACTCTGGTGCACCCAACTTCACAAAAACAGTACTACAGGACTTTAAGACACAGATTAA